GCCACCGTATCATACACCCGCATGACAACCAGGTCGTCACGCCCTTTGAAGATACTGACGGGCGTCATCTATCTTACGGGGAGACCGTCAAGGTCTCCAGGAAAACATAGTGCCTTTCTGGTTGTTACAAGAGTAACAGGTTTGGGAAAAGGTGATGACGGATGTCACCTAGGTGACGACCTTCCCGTTATCGTGTTAGTGGACACTTTTTGAGCTTTCTGTGGAGATTTTCTGTATCATTTTGTCGTGCGGTTGATGTTAACAGTTGTTGGGTATATTTTGGTGACTTTGATTAATTAAAGGGCTGATTAAATTGAATGAATTGATGATGAAATTGTGTGGTCGTGTGATAATTATGTGTTGAACCTATAATAGAGATTTGTGGTATATAGTTCAGCTATGGGGAATACTTTGATGTTTTTGTGTAGGATTATTTACGGATAGATGTGAGAAGGTAAATTTTTTATTGAGTTGATGTTTTGTTCATTACATTATACATGCATTATATGTTGTCGTTGTTGTGAAAGAGGTGAGTCACGAGTTCAGATGAGGGGACTAGTGACTTTTCCATAGCTCGAATGAGGGGGCTCAGGGTTCAGATATTGGAACACGATTCATATGAAGAACTTTTGTTGAGTTGGTACCGGTTGTACCCCAAAATTTTCCCTCTCATTTTCTTCAAGACATTCTCCTAGGATTCTCAAATGCTCAAGGTTTCCCAAAAATTGATTAGACAAATTCTCCTCCTAAGCAAGGGGTCCACAACTAGGGTTTCATCTTTCACATGGAAATTTGAGTCTCTAAAGTATTAAATGGAATTCATGGTTTCTTATAGGTCTCCAAGAATGCTCATACCAAGTTTCATGCCTTTCATCACAAGATTTCTCAGATAATTGAAAATCAACTGTATTAAACAAAAAGTCAATTGTGGTCAACACACAGTCAAAGTTCAAGATTTTTGGTCAACATTAACATTTTTAACTCACATTCATCATTTGATAAAGGGTTGATCATGATTCTTCAAGAGAAACTCTCAAACCATCAAAAGTCAAAAGTTGCTAAATTAGGGTTTCCCTTAGGAGAAGTCAACTGAACTTTGACCAAGCATAACTTTCACATGCTTCATCATCTTTCCCCAACCAAAGCCAATTTTTAAGAAAATTCAACTCTCTACAACTTTTTATCTCTAAGCTCAAATCTAAAAAATGTTTCATTTGAGATATATGAGCCAATACATTATAGGTCATTTCAAAAGTCAACAAAAAGACACTTTTTTCAAGACAATTTACATTAAGATAAAGTCTTCAAATGCAAAAATGATGAACATAGAGATTGTATAGGACACCTTGGGATTTCCAAAAAGTAAAAGATCACTTTCAAAGGATGAAAATTGAGATAATTATTACAAGTGCGAGTTGGGAAATTTTGAGCAAATGCATGAAGTTCAAATTGAGAAAACTTGATATTTTGGGCTATTGGGTCATTATTTAAGAATCCAAGTGTGTATTACACTCCTTATACACCTCATATCTTATTCATGTACCCCTTAGTCTATTTTATTTTTATTATTTTTGATTTATTCATTATTAATTCAAAAATAAGTAAGATAAAATACAAGGCTACTTACACAAAGTCCAAGCCCATATCTTTGACCTAATTCAATGATATTTAACCACACTCATTCAGACCCAAAATATACGAAGCCCTTATCTCAAGAATCACCTCCAAAAACTCAAAATTGTTCAAGCTTAGGACAACCTTCAAATCCTTATCACAGTCGTTTCCAAGGCAAATAAACCATCTCATTCACTTCCTACAATCCTACAGAGTAAGAATGGATCAAATCTAATGATCTAAAACGCATGAAACACCACTGCATACATCTCTGATCTCATACTTTTGCAAAATTGTATTTTTGAGTTTTTTGTTTACTTTAAGACATACTAATGATATCATTGTGTTTCTAAGGTCTGATGGTGCAGCATAGAACTATCGTGGAAGTCCCATGCTAGCTAAATCGTAAAACACCATAACTACACTAATACATGCAGTTTTCACCATAACTCAAAATCCATTGCGATTCAGGCCAAAATAATCATCTCATTGAAATCGCAGACCCTGGTTTAGGGGGGTAGGGTCCCTTTGGATTACTGATTTTGGCTGTTTTGCAGGTTTGATAAAAAGAGGTTACCAGAGAAGACGATCGGAGTTAGGGCTCCAGCGTCTCTCTGGTTCAGACAGTGTCTTTATATTATATATATTTCATTTTGTTTAAAATACCGGATGTATTACCGCCCCAGCAGTTGAAGCGCGCACGTTAAGGACTTATTATGCCAAGGCGTGGGATCGATCTCAGCCTTTTGGAATTTTGACATTTTTCTGATTTTTATTATTTTGCAGATGATAAAACATGTTGGCTTCCTTCGCTTAACATCAAGGTGTGCTTGGCCCAGTGGTGAACGTGATGTCTTTATTGGCTGAGGGCGTGGGTTTAACACCCACCCCTACCTTTTGGTTTATTTTCCTCCAAATTCTCTTTTCTTCTTACTCTTACTCTTAGTTTCCTATTTTTACAAAATCTTTTTCAAAACCTTTTTTATATAAACCCTAATTTAGTTTTAGATTTTGATTTAATCAAGCCTAATTAATTTTTTTAGGTTTTTATTTAATCAATTAATTTAGTTTTTAGGTTTTTCATTAAACCTTCTTTTTTTTAAAATTAAAATCGATTTAGGGTTTGTTTAATTTAATTAATCAATTCTATTTTTTATTAATTAAAATTAATTACGTTATTAGGTTAATTATCAAACCTCTTTTTTTGTCAAGAAAATCACCAAAAACAATTTCCTTTCTCTTTTCTTGGTTCCATATTTTCACGTAGTTTACTCTTTTCGTGTTGTTTATAATTATGTAAGTGCTCATGGTTTGTAATAGTTAATTAGGTTTTACTTTTTCCCCACATGTTATTACTTGTACCCCCATTCCCGAAGCCTTGTAATAGCATAGAATTTTATTTTTCGTGTATTTATCGCGCTACTATATTTGTTACTATTGCTTAGTAATTAGGTTTTGCATGAAAAGACTAATAACAAACGTTAGCTAACCCTAATTTCAAAGATTAAAAATAACTGAAACACAAATCATTTGCGCATGCACACCTCTAGGGTAACCTCCCTTATTGTCTTCGATAAACACAGTCATGTCCCTCGAACGTGGGGACGCTTTAGCATTGTCTCTCGATTAAAAAGATTGTAGTACCTCGATGACCCTTTAGAATGTTGCCTTCGGTAAATGATCGAGTCCTTTACGAAATTGTTAAAGCGACCCTACGAGTTACCTTCAATGATTGTACAATGACCCGCACCTGTCTTATCACATCGAACGATAGAGCTTCCTGGTAACTAGGTACGGATGGAACTCTCTAAAGGAGGAGAAAAAGTACAATAAATACCTTGAGTAGGTAGATAATTCCTAATCACTTGCTCACAAACAAAACAAAAACATCTTTTTCACACACTTTCAGAAATATTTTTTAAACACTTTGTACGCATTCTCGAGGACAAATACGAGAATCATTACAAAGTCATTCCTTGCTATTGGCATTTCTAAATATTTTTCAAACACATTCACAAAGGATTTTCAAAGTGAGCTAGCGATTAAGAGCCTGTAGATTACTACAGATGAAAAAAGGGTGCTAACACCTTCCCTTTTCATAACCTACCCCCCGAACTCAATAAATCTCAAAGGTCTTTCTTGTTCTTTTCACCCTTTCCTTATTGGATAAAAGAAAATCCAGTGGTAACTCTTACTATCCGCAATATTTGCAATAAAATGCAAAAACAAGTCAGTTCTCCCACCGTATTACAGTACGACATGCATAAGTTAAGTCGTTGTATGCATTGGATTACATAAAGGTTCAGAAAATGAGTGTTTTTGGTGTTGTTGTATGTTATACACCAAATTTGCCCACCCTTTATCACTACGGTCTAAATTAATTTCAAACTTGAATTTTTATAAAATTCTTTTGATTTACATTATATTTTGGGGTTCTTTAAATATTCGTTCTCAAGTCCAGTTAAAAATATAATAATTTATTTCAAATTATTTGTATTTTTTAAAATAACAAATATTTGCATATCTTTCATATACTTTCAATTTGGTTTATTTAAAAATGAGTAATATAATACAATTGGTAAAGAATGAAGCTTGCAAGTATGAGGTTGTAGCTTCAAATCTTGTGTTACATTTTTTCTATTTCTTTTGTTACTAATTTTCTTTCCTTTTTTAAAAATCGGGCTTGAGCTTTTCATACATTTTGGATAACTTGGTTTCTAAGTCTTCGTTAACCTAATTCAAGTCTATAAATATGACTTTAGTTTGTCCTAATTTTCATCCATAATTTTGCAATTGCACACACACAATTCACATTATTCACAGATCAATAATCGCACACACTTTCTTTTAATGTTTTATTATTTTTGGCCAAAGATTTCTATATGAGGCCACTCTCTTATTTTAAAATTTTACTTTATTAATATATAAGTTATTTTAACCACACGATGAATATTGATAGTTTTTATTTGTTATTCGTAGTATTAATAATTTTTGTTGCAGGAACCATATCAATTTCTAACGCACAGTAACTTCCAAAACTTCTTTACATAGTCATTCCCTAAAATTATTTTCCCTTTTCATACTTTGGTCAACGTCTGTTTTTGAGTCAAAATCTCATGTATATATTTTGCTTTCACACTCAATTTGTTTGCTGCAAAAATTTAAAAAAAAAACATATATACTAATTGAAACTAATCATTCTGTCAACATTAGCAGCAACATTGTTTTAGTCCTGTTTTGCAACAGTTACATCATAGAGGACCAAAATAACGGAAGAGAAATCTGATCGGAGAACTCTCGCTTCGCATCGAAGCGGATCTGCAAATCGCGACTACTCATCATTACCAATAACAACACCTATCAATCTTTATTTTGTCGTGTTTTCAATGTTACTTTCAGGTTATTGCTGAGGAAGAAATAAGAAGGCTTATTCAAAGTCAAATAAACAATTCAATGATCATAATCAAATAAAAATAGAAATCGATGTCCATTGTGTAACCTTTAATCATGATGTTTGTTTGCTATTGTTTTTGCTTGCAGGAAAAACAAAATCGTCACCTTCAGATGTATTGCCACCGCGAGCTCTGTGTTCATCTCCGCCGCGATCTTGTTTGACGTCTCGCCAACACCATGCATCAGCCGCCTTCAGCCGCAGACATCAGATGCTACCATCGCATCACAGCCAGCGTCGACGAAACCCATACGGCTGCATTGCTTCTCCGGCCGCCATCATCATTTTCCGACATGAAAACGCAATTGTGCCTCACACCGCTCTGACATCTACCATTGCTTCCAGATCGCTTACCGTCGCGTGTTCGACAATCGTCCATCGCACTCCCCGACTCCAATAGCAACACCAACGACGTCACTCACGCCCAAGCTTCCTCCGTGCAGCCGCAGGTGCCCTCCCAGACTTCTGCGCCGCCGCTCCTGTTAAGTAACCACCATCATCGACTGAAAAACTTGCAGAGAAAAGAGCCTGGAAGAATGAAAGAGAAAGATGTTAGAAGAGAGATTGTGTAGGAGAGAGATAGTGTTTTTTTCTTACCCAATTCTTTTTTCATCATGTTTTTTTTCTTTCTCTTTTTTTAATAGATAAATTTTATGCGGATCTTTGTCTCATTTTGGAATTGTCAAATGTGAAAGATATTGAACGATGAGGATATGGAAAGGGCGGCCTATGCTTCCCTCATTTTCTCTTTTTTTAGTTTGTTTTATTTTAATTAGGGTTTTTGTGTCATATGGGCTTTTGGGTCTTAACTTTTATCCTTTTATTAATTGCACCCTATTATTAATACATCATGCTACTTTGTTAATTTTATCTTATGTAGAAATTAATTAGAATTAGAATTAAGGTCTTAATTATAAAATGGGCCTTGGGCTCTAACTTCTGCCACTCTATTAATTCACCTCCATTCTAATTTAGCATCTCCTTTATTCTTTTGTTTAATTTTTTTTATTAATTAAACATTTTTATGAATAATAGGATATACATCTTCGCATAATTAAATCGTTCGACACATCGTCTACCGGTTTATTATTCAAAATCTAATAATTAAAATCCATGCAATTCACCAAATTGACCATCCGCAAGCGGCACGTGTCCAATATTTGGCCACATGATGACGAGACTATATCAGGCTCCCGCACTACGTCTTAATACAACTAACCATTCAAATCATTTTCTACTAACTTAACAAAAAAATTCAAGATCATTTTTCAAAAAAGATTAAATAGCATTGTCTTCGAATCAAACTGCAATTATGTCTACGATCACTTAACTTACAACCCAAACAAGGTTCAAGGTTAATTTGAAAGCAATTCTATGCAATCTTATAAAAAACACCTACCAACACTGCGAACTACGAAATGAGACTCGGATTCCTCCTAAGAAGATACATAGGCATACGATTAAAATCATGGCGAGTTCCCCTAATAAAACATTAAAACCCTTTTTGCTAAAAAAGGCGCTTATAAACCTAGTATCCTTGTGAACAAGGTAGGTGAGGGGTGCCTAACACATTCTCTTCATCTAGAACCGAGTCATACCTAGAGTCTCTGAACTTTTTAAGGGTTATTCCTTTATATTCCCTTCCTTAGGATACAAATTAAGGGTGGCGACTTTGTATTAAAAACCAGTTATAACAGCTGGCGACTCTGCTGGGGACTCAACCCTAGGGTTTAGAAGTCTTCCTCTTAGGTTTAGGGTTGTGTTTGGGGTTTTGGTGTCTTTCAATATTTTCTCTATTTATTTATTTTATTCATTTATTTTTGTCTATTTATCTATTGTTATTTTCATCATGTTATTATATCTGTGGTTGGATTTAAATTTTTAAAAAACTATTTTTCAAAAACCCTTAGAAAGAAGGTTCGTCCATTAGCCAAGGGGTTACATCATCCCTATGAGTTTATATGATGACTTTTCCTAGAGTCGGTGGAATTCCACAAAAGGAATACCTCTCAAGAGACATCATCTTGGGAAGTAGGACTTTGGAATGACACGTATGACTCTTTGTACGGCCTTTAAACCAAAAACTCATGATGAGACCTTTTACGACCTAGAGACAAAAGTTTAGGTCTGTAAAGAGGCTCCATTAAAGGGAGACCCTTGTGCCTTTCTCTCTAGTGTTTTCCATGATACCCTTAAGGAACCACCTTATGGGTAGGATAGACTAACCGTAGGCCAAAACTAGGAGTCTACCTTCTAAAGATACCATTCATATAATCCCATTTCCACTATCCCTAAACCCACAAGGGTTACTTTCGGTATACTACAATCCATAACCTGTAGGGATTATCTTGCATGAGTCATAACCCCTAGCCTGTAGGGATTCCTCAATAGCCCATTAGTCTATCACAATTCCTAGCTAGTCGGAATTCTCGTCCCTCAATTATAATCCCTATCTTGTAGAGATTCCTCTTTGTCTTCTATGGTCTTTAATCCCTAAGGAGTTCCTATTTGTCTCAATATTTGAGGCAGTGTGGGGTATCATCATTTCCATATCTACCATTAAACATGTACAGGGTATCCCTACATCTATCCTCATACTACGTCTGTGTCGCATTGCATAGTCATAAAACTTTTTTACATGCCCAAAAGCCAAAAAATAATTTTGCATACCCATGCATTCACATACATTCATACATTTGCATCTCATGCATTTCCACCTTCGCCCACATCCAACAATTTTCCATATGCTAGCTAATTTCTTGGTACTCGCAAACGAGCTTAAGAAAGTCTAAAACTTTGGAAGTAGCATATTAAACATTGGAGACTCAATTGATCTTGGTCCTACAAGTCCAATTAAAAAAAGAAGGCAACCCTTTACTATACAGGCCTACACAATGCCTCAGATACAACTATCATTGGGGATTCAAAAGCAACAATATCAACAAGAGCAATGCCCTCACGATATAGGTATGCGTAAGAAAAGTCAAGGGTCACTCTACATGCTCTAACAAGTCCAAGAACTAAGAAGAATCTGCTAAAGTCAAGTGGATAAACAAAAAGGGGCTCTTCCATAGGATTATCAAAATTGTCAATTTCAATTTGTAATTTCCTAGTTGCTATGTTTTATTTGGTGTGAACTTGTATCTTTGGATCAGTAATGCTAATAAAATGAGCATGCATGTTTTTAAAATCAATTCATTTATTTCACTCTTCATCTTTCATCACTTTCCATAAATAACAACGACTTTCCATTTCCACTCTTCTTTTCAATTTTCAAATTTTCTTTAACAAACTTCGAGGGAGAATGACAAAAACTAAATAATCAAGTTTTGATGATGTATGCTTTTTAATAGTAAGACCGAGCTGACGATGTAAAGCATTGTTTCACTTCCTAAACAATAGAGAAATAAGGAGTTAATACGTAGTTAACCCCCTCGAGATAGAAGCCGAAGTTCTTCTTATTTTCTAAAAAACCCTTAATCTTAACCAGGGGCAGGGTAGACTTCAATTAATTCAACAATGAATTCAAATCCCAGAAGAATCGAAACAATCTAAGAAAAGGTTTAAGCATATCTCTTGAAATTTTGGTACAGCAGACTCAAATGTCCTATAAGGATGTCGAGACATCTGATCTGACACAAACACACAGGCAAGATAAAGCAGTACTGAAAAGATAAAGAACATACCAGAATTGTTTACCCGGTTCGGTGTACAACAACACCTAATATGAGGGCTACCAAGCGATGAATGAAGTCCACTATCAACAGTATCAATTTGCAGACCCTACAACCAACATACCCGTTGATGATCTACGCACTTAATCATTACCCAATGACCCTTCTACCTAGGTCCTACCTAGATATGGAATATCCCCATCCCACTTCTAGTCATCACAATGATGTATAGCAGTCAACAGCTCAGCCACTGCATCGACGACCCTTCATCAAGATTCTGATCACACATATAGACAGTTTGGAACACACATTTCCAGGACAACCTACCTAAGTCTACAAGCCAAACTCCACTATTTGTTAGCTTTGCTCCTAACACATCCTGGAGTTTCTTCAAAGCTTCCTCCAAGAACAATACACCTCTTACCTACAGGCTTCGAGGTGAACATGGTAACCTTCCCACAACCCAGGAGGTTTACCTTGAAAAAACCCTAGACTTCTACATCTTGAGCCGTGTATTTTCTAGGTTACAAACCCTTATATTTATAACCCGTTACGCAATTGGTTTTGGGCCTTCAATCACAGCAAGTCAGCTATAACAAACTGCAGAAACTTCTGCCCCAAGAAAGGTCTTCAATCTTTAGTTTCCTAAATAATCTCCTTATTTAGAAAGTCTTCATTCTCATTGATTTCTGATTAAATTTTCTAGACCTTTAAATATGCGCCACATAGGATGCATAATATTCTCCTGAATATTCTGCCTCTGTTAAGAATAAAATGAATCTCATTAATCCAGCTCAGCAGGCACGATGTTGAAGACATCTTCTTCGACATTTTGTTCCAGTTATTGAAAAAGTTTAACACAATATGTTTTGACATTGTAATAGGACTTCTTGTTGTACCTGTTCTTCTTGGAAGGTTTATACATCTGATTCTACATTACATGATTGCTGCTATTATTTGTTTTACTAAAATTAAGCCAATCCTAAAACAAGAGAGCTAACAATCTCCCCCTTTGGCAAATTTTGGCTTAAATAAATAATCTAAAAACAATTTCCATCTAGGAGATTTCAGTAATACAAAAGTATAACCCTCGGCAGTAGTGTTCAAAAGCTACTGCACACAACAATAGATCTTTAGTTGAAAATAATGTCTCAACATCTTGTTCGACATCTTCTTTACAGCACTCTGAAGAACTCAATTGCATCAGCACCAATGAACAACAACTTCAGGATAAAAGGAAGGAAAGTCCTGAAGTTTGGTTGATGCACACGAGGAAGAAGATAGAAGAAGACAACTTGCACTCCCCCTCAATCCAAGAACATCTTCAAAACATAGAAGACCAATAGTGGAATAAGAGAACTCTTAATAAGATCACAGGTCACAAAGGACATATCCAAACAAATACATGATAGAACATTTCATTCGACGTGTTTGGACACTATCTCATATCTAAGCAAAACCTTTCTCCCCCCTTTTGGCCAAAACTTGACAAAGGAGGTCTTCACAGAACCAGACCCATGCACAACTTACCTAGACCTGAACAAAACCCATTATGGGGATGAGAACAACACTCACTTGGTATTTAGAGGATATGAGAAGCCTCTATAAATAGCAGAGTAATTTCTTAGAAATTAACAATCTTTAATTCTTGGTTAAATTAGGGATAATTGAGGATGGAAAAATTGCTGCACGAATCAATATGACTGTCCAATCTAACTTTGAACAC